CCATCTTCTCTGTCTAAAATGTGCACCTGGTGGTCCTCAAACGAGTGTCCTCTGTCCTTCAGATGTAAGTAGACTGCAGAGTCTTGACCTGAGGAGTTGGCCCTTCTGTGTTGAGCCATGCGTTTGTGTAGTGGTTGTTTAGTCTCCCCAATATACAGGTCTGTGCATTCCTAACTGCATTGGACCGCATACGCTAGATTGCTTTTCTTGTGTTTGGGTGTGCGGTCTTTGGGGTGGACCAGCATCTGTCTTAGTGTGTTCTTGGGTTTAAAAAACACAGGGATGTTATGTTTGTTGAAAATCCTCCTGAGTTTCTCTGATACTCCAGACACGTATGGAATCACAATGTTGTTGCGTTTGATCTTCTTCTCCTCCTCCCCTGTAGTTTTGTTCTTCTTGGATCTTGTGGCTGTCTTCACAAAGGTCCATTTAGGGTATCCACAGGCTGTAACTGTTGGTATTAATGTATATTTTAGACAATTAAAGACGAAATGACTGCTATTCCTTACTTTTCTATCCATCAACAAAGAACTGATGCATTTAGCTCAGCAGGGTTATCCATTCATCCTGTCATCCCTTCATCTATCTAACCACTGAGTCTGTATGTGTAAAACCCTCCCTCTGTTGTTATGAATGAGCAAAAGCTTCTCAGGTTGCGTCACATCATGTGTTTTTGCAGGTGTTGAGAATTACAAAGTGTGAGGAGGATCACGACCTCGTCCATCACAGCACCGCAACACTATCAGGTTCAGACATTATTTCACATTAGGTTTACATACATACGATATTCCACGTACTATAGGAGGCAGCAGAGCGTCAGTAGAAAGGTCCATGTTCAAACCATCGTGTGTCTCAGGGCATCCTTCCTGCTGAAGTGTCACAGAAATTATGCAATAAGCTGTGACATGTTTACATCCCAACCATGAAGTCTTCTTAAAAAGAAAAAAGAAGTTATATGAATTGATTGTTGCCATATAGAAAGAAATTAAGAACTTAATTAAAGAAATTAAAGCTGTATTTAAAAGTGTTGTCATGATAGAATAACAAGAAATAACCACAAGCATCTGAAATATGTGCATTTGTCACTAAATAGCAGTTTGCTCGTTGTTTTAACCTCCTGATTTAACCTTGTCTGGCGCACTCTTACTAAGCTTTTATGCTCAAACATGCACCGGAATATTTTTAAATCTCTTTCAGACTTTCTTGGCAAGCTTTTGTATTTGTATCCAACTTTTCCATGTTTCAGAGTTTATTTTGGATTACTTTGGATCACTTGGGAAGTGCACGCAGCATACGAAGCAGCCGGTGTTACGTTGAACCTCTATCACCTGCTAATCAAAGAGCGTCATTCCACAAAGTGTTGGCAGAGACAGTTCAATACCTTTTCTATTTGGATTAAGCCACTACAGGCAATGTAGTATAGCCCACTGCATTGTTTACGATGTTATTCATGGTATTCTGTTCACATTCTGCATACTCCCGTTATATTCTGTTTTGTGTGCCAAATTGAAATGGAGTGGAAACCATGCCGGAGTGGCACTAACCGGCACGGTGCACCCATTATTTCCACGGTCTGCATTTTATTTGCATGTAATAGTAACTACCCTACAATCCTGATATCTGAATTTCCATGAAAAAGTATTAACTGCTGTGCTGCTGCTTGTTTTGTTTTCTGTAACTTCAAATGCTATGCTTAATAAAATACATAGAGACACAGAGTAAAAGTACCGTGAAGAAGTAAAAGTTTTAATTTAGCTGACGCTTTTATCCAAAGAGACTTGCAATTTTTCTATATGTCAGAGTTTGTAGGTCTCTGGAGCAACTAGAGGTTAAGTGTTTTGCTCAGGGACACATTGTGTCACAGTGGGAATCGAACCTTGGTCTGTAACCAAAGGCATGTGTCTTATCCAATTTCTTATGCACTGCACCATCACCACCCACATATAATATTTCAAGTACCAAAAGCAAAGGTACTCAATTCAAATTTTGCACCATGTCCCATTTCAGATTCATTACATTATATTTCTAGTTTATTTAATATGTATATTAAAACATATCATAATCTTATCGTTGCTTGTAGATTTCCCCAAGGGGTTAGTAATACAATAAAATCACGTCCCTGCAAACACAATGCATGGACAGATTGAATCTATCTGTGTGTTTTCTGTTATTGAATCAATCTGAGTCTTTGCCACAGTCACTGTACTACCAGCAATAATGACAATAACAGAGTTTGTCATTTCAACAGTGTAAACATGAACACACAAAAGCACTTTGTCACTTTGGGTAATAAGTGATTCTGCAGATTGTAGTAGTGGATTCGTCTCCACAGTCCTCCTTAGTTTGTCTGTTTCTTCTTCACTGCATCTGTTTTTTCACCCGTCTCTCATGTCCTCTGTCTCTCTGACACTTAATCTGAAGTTATCTTTTTTGGCATTACTCATGGAGGAGGAACAACATTACCAAATATCATCAGATATTAAAAAGCAAGTCCGTCGTAGAAACAGAAAAGCAAAATCACAATAATGAATGCATGGTGTGAGAGTTCACAGTGAACAAATCAAACTCATTTTTGATTAAATGACCATTTCCTTCTCAGTCAACTTATCTCACACCACCTATAAGTTTCTACACAACCTGAATCATTCAGTAATTGAACCAGTAGTCTTTAATTGTGAAAACTGTCATCAGATGACCAAACTACCAAACCGTAATGTGGTAACTGAGACAAATATCATGTTTAGAAAGGAAGAAAAAAGAGGACAGAAACAGACATAGCTGAACTCAAATCCCGGAATAAAAAAACACATCCTCATTCGTCTGTCCGTTCCCACAGAGGGAAGGTGAAAGGGGCTGGTTCATGACTCATGTGCCCTCTGTTATTCCTCATATGAGCCTGAATAGTAGAAAATACAAATACACCAGGACACAGAACCGGAGAGCACAGAAATATCTCATATGTCCTCCTCATCTCCTTTGGCATACAGACAGCTGGTGCTGATTCTTTTTAATGCACCAAAATGTCATAAAGACACTCAAAAGTGATAACTTTTATTAGATAGGATGTGATTTCAATGGCTGCAAACTAAATTTCAAGAGAATTCTTTTTCCCTCATTCCCACACATCATTTTTTGGATAAGTCTCCTTCTGGCCGCATTTGGTACCAATATGGAATCCCTCCAGACCAAAACACAGCATTTCTCAATCACCGATAAAGCATTAACCTAAGCTTAGCTACTCCTGACCCAAATCAACTGTTAAATTAAGACTAATAATGTAGCCAAGCTAAAAAAAAAAAAAAAGATTGAAGATAGCACAGAACTAATATGTCCACAGTTTGATTCCCACTGGGGACATTTGTTGCATGTCAGTTCTCTGTCAATTGTTGACCAATGAACACTGGAACAGACTGAAAAGTAGCTAATCAGTTTTGCAGCTCTGACTTTACACTAAACATTTTTATCTTCTAACAACCGTTAGGCCAGAGCTCATGAAGATATCATCACTAACACTTGCATAAAAACTGTCAGGATATAATTAAAACCTGCTGCGCAGTTGGGAGAAGTATAAAAAGATTTATTAAAAATCTGAAATTTTGGCTAATGCCGGTGTGACGATGAAATGAGCATCAGATGTCTCAGACAAGTGCACAAGAGGCTTTTTAACTTAATATAAGAGTCTGTTTATATAATATTTCAATCAAACATTTCCCCCTTTTAAAACAAATATAAAACAATGCAATAAGAGGGTTTGGAGCAGGAACACCCACTCTATGTATCGCAGCTCTGTGTGCCAGGCTCTCTGTCCACCCCTGTTCCCATGAGAATGATCTCCAGTTGGGGGCAGAAGCCATTCGCTGCGTAACCCCTCTGCTCTCCCCCAAAGGACCAATTGGGTAACATTAAGTGAGCGACCCGGGCCCCGCCAAAATGAAGATGTATGCCGCAGCACAACAGTAACAGTAGACTGAGGTCAAGCTGGCTGAAAATAACACTGTATTATGTCAAAATAAATAAGTGGGTGGTGGTTACATGAGAGCAACTTTTAATCTTGGTGTTCTCTTTGACCAGCAGAGGAACTCATCTTCAGAACAGAAACCTCGTGTTGCTCTTTGTGTCTTTGCTTCCATACAGTTTTTCAAGTTGAGATGACACATTTATCGTCTTGCACAAATCTGTAAGTGTGTCTCTTATTGCTCTGTTTCTATCAAAGAATTTTATCTGTATTCGTATCAGTCAACTTCTGCAGAACAGTTTATCGCTGTGCAAATAAACTCAATAACTGCCAACTCACATTGTCCCCCCACATGTAGAGCTTATGTGTCGTAAGCTTGGGATCAAGCCATCTGTCTGGAACCAATCTTTGTATCTATTTCCATGTAGAGTGAAGAGCAGCAGGACAATGAGAGGCTGTGAGAAGGTACAGAGAGAGTAAGACGCTTTGTAAACCAAATGTATGTGGACTACATGGTTTGCTTTGGCCCCTTGATCTCCCATGATGCCCCAGACCATGGCTGTGTTTAGAGTCTGAGTTAAATCTCCAGCTTCCAGTTGCTGACTCAGTAGGAATGACCATACAAGGCATTGGGATTTACTTCAGAACTGCAAGATCAGTTAGGAAAGAAGATTACAGCAGCTTCTAGACCCCGTTTAGATCTCTTTCTTCTTCTATCTGCCCATTTCTTTCTGCTTTCTCTCTGTCTGTCAGCAGTTTAGTTTCTTTTTTTGTCCTCTCTTTCCTCAGTGTTTGTCTCTCCTCCTTTTAATTCCCTTAATCTTCCACTTTTTCTTTTTCTGGCTACTTCTAATTCCTTTCTCCCTGCTTTCTTATCCTCTCAGCCCACAAATAGAGAGGGTACTCTAATAGACCTCCCTCAGGTCTCCTGTCCCTCCACTCCTCCCTCTCCTTCTTCTTTTCTCTCCTCCTCCTCCTCCTCCTCCTGCCCCTCTTCCCTCCCTCGCTCATTCTTTCTTTTCTCAGCCAGCCCCAGATAAGAAGGGGGCAGAAGTATTTCTCTTCAGCCACTTCTGAAACTGGAGCCACCAGAGAAGGATGGAAGGAAAACTTTACTCTAATTTTCTGTTTTCTTTTATTCCTGGATATCTGAGCATTGAGTGGTCATCTTTCATTTAGATGCAACTTTAAATCTCTTTTTCTGTTGTTCTCACCTTGCATTTAAACATCTTTATCTTTTTTCATTCTACCTGTCAGTTTGGACAGTCACTATTCCCACAACACTTTCTACCAACTTAGCTTTCTCTCCATCCATATTTTCGGGAGGGATTTTTAAGGAAGGCATGAAAGACCTGCCAAGGCCAATGGACCCATCCTGAAAAATCTTCATCAACAAGACGAACTCGACCACAGATTAAAAACATTAAGACCCAAGAACAAAATAAGGAGAAGGAGGAAGAAAGGAGATGAATCCCATCGATTGACAAAATCATCTAATGTACATCTTCAAGTGAAGAGGGAATGGGAGACAAATCAGTGAGACCACAGAACAGGTGTTGCTCTCTTTTCCTGCATTGCAAAAAAGTGTGATCCAGAAGTGAAGTTATCTCCTGAAGTTCAGCAGAACAAGCAAAAGGGACTCGGTGCAGAATCAGACCTCATGGATTAAGTGGTAGGTGCAGAGACTTGTGAGTGACCTGTTCTGTCCTGCACACAGATGTTTTCATAAAGTGTATTGTGGTCAAAGTGGGCACAAGCTTCTCTTGACCCTCTTCGCACAGAGAGAACACACTTTGATACAGTTGAAGTCATGAAAGACTTAAATCTCAGCCAGGGGTTGCTGGTGCTTCTGCTGCTTTGGACTTTGTTAGTTGTTGCTGATGCAGCCGGTGTTGCGAGTGCAGAACGAGGAGGAGCTGCCAGAAGCCAGAGAAGAGGAGGAGGTGGCGGCAACGGCGGCAGTGGAGGAGGAAGTGCGGAAAAGAAAAGGAGGTTTCACCGCATCCAACATGGCCAGTGCAGCTACACCTTCATCCTGCCGGAATTGGATGCCTGCCAGGCCGGAGGACCTCGCGGCGGGTCGAGTGTCGTGCAGAGAGACTTGCCGCCAGTAGACAGTGGATGGTCAGCTCAGAAACTGCAGCACCTGGAGAGCACAATGGAGAACAACACGCAGTGGTTGCAGAAGGTAAGAGACAGACTGTCTTCTTCTCTTTTCCTTCTTTAAAGACCATAAATCTTTTACTCACCTCAGTATGATGTAAGGTTGACAGTTGGACAGATGAAGGAATTCATGAATGTTTTGGTACTTGAACGTTCAACAGAACCTTCTGTCAGACCAAAACATCACACCCTGATTAGAGGCTGAACATAAAACATAAAACAAGAGTGCATTGGAGTATTAAAATGGCAATCACATGTGTGTTGTCAAATGCTGTTGAAGAATGCCCTGTCCTGGACCGTTTAACCCCTCAATAGACCTGGAGAAACAAAACAATAAGGAAATGTGTGTTGAACGCCGACCAGCACTGTGACTCAGGATTTAACACACATGTAGCTTCAGCAGCTGTGTTTGCAGTGAAGATTAAAACATTGTTATTTTAGACTGTAACAAGCTAAATTTTCTTGCTCGGTCATCTGTAGGATAGAGATCAAAGTTTGGGGTTATGACTCTGGATGAGTGGCAGCTGGTTTCAATCAGTCAGTGCTTTCCCTCCTGTTGTCCTAACAAACTATAATTCCTCCATCTGTGGTTTCACTGGCACTGTGACTCCACGGTGTGTAGTGAGAGCCATTGTAAAACCTTTTTACCCCATTACCTCTCATTTATCCTGCAGAAGTACTGCAGATAATTCGTACTGTACAAAGTAATTGATATGCTGCCATGAAAAATGTACCACTTTGTCATGATATGAAGGATCAAGTGTGAGTTTATAGCCATTAAAACTCACAGGGTGACACTGGAACAGTGGATAAGACAGGTGCATTTGGTGTGGGAGAACCAGGTTTGATTCCCCCTGCGACATCTACCACTGAGTCTCTGAGCAAGAAATTTAACCCCTTATTGCCCCAGAAGCGTGTAACCTCTGACACATATAACAATTGTAAGTCGCTTTGGATAAAAGCGTCAGATAAAATGAATATAAAAGCCTTTACACTAGCCATGTTTCCATCTGATTATGAAGCAAATTTTAAGCAAACTTTTGAAATGTCGCAAAAAAGTAATAAGTAATAAATAAATGCGAAAAGCATTTCCATCAGCTGCTTTGGAGCAAATATACCGAGGTACAGCAAACGCAGTTACGTCAGAAGTTAACGTTACACATGGCTGTAATAAACAAGTAGCACGGGTTGCAAACCGGAAACAAAACCAGTCGCATGGACCTGAGGACCATTGATCTCAGAAAAACGGAGAGAGATCCTCAGGAATGTGTTTCCAGTGGGCAAACTGCTACCAGCCATGTCTCCGCGCGTTATGGGGATATCCGGCAAGACACCGACAGCAGAAACAGCTGATCAGTCGTGAGTGACATATTTGCTACCTCAGAACTTAGAAAGACAAAAACCTCCTTGAGCAAGCCTTAAAAGTTTTTGAATTTTGCCGTTTCCATCAAACTTTTCTAATGTGATACTTCAAAATGTGCATAAAAAATGTTAAATGGAAACATTGCTGCTGCCTACAACTTCAGACAAGAGTCTACAGCCATGCTAGCAGCTCTGTGACGCTGTACGTAGACACAGCAGGGCATTGAGATGAGAACGTGTTGGAGCCCGTTCTCATCTCAAAGCGTAGTTATTTGATGCTAAAGGGTACCTTTTGACGCTTCCGGAACCCTAACCCTAGCTAGCTACGTTCGTGATAAAGGTGTTGACAGCCCCCCGAAGCCCCTACCCTTACCACAACCATCAGAAATGTTAGTACCTAAACCTAAGTCACTGAATGTATGCATGTCGACCGGCTAACCCTACAGCTGCGCAGTGTTATTGCAACGTAGGAAACAGGGGTGTTTCATACGGACGCTGAAGGGTACCTTTAGCGTAAAATCCTTACGCTTTGTCACGCTGTCTGAAAGCGTCAGTTATGACGCATTGAGATGAGAATGTGTTGAAATGCTAACATCAGCATGCTAACACTCACAGTGACAATGCTAAAATGGTGGTATTTAGCTGAGGCTGAGAGGAACGTCATTGGCTTTTCAAGTCCTAAATCAACGTAAAGTGGTAGATGGAAAATAAATTCATCTGTACACATCTGTATAACATTTCATCCCAATCCATCTTGGATGAGAAAAAACTCTGACCTGCCATCAGCGCTACAGGAGGTATCAGGTCCAACATTTCATGGCAATTTATCCAACAGCTGTATAGCTATTTCAGTCTGGACCAAAGCAGAGGACCAATCCACACACCAATATATCCATCTGTAAAAATCTGCCCTCTATGAAAGTAATAACAAAAATATAATTTATCACATTAGTTCAGGAAGCGAGTAGAAAGGTTGACACGATCTGTGTTATATTTGGTCCATTCTTACCGGAACCACATTTCTTGAAATAATACAAAATGAAAGGAGCCTCATATCCAACGTTTTGACAGGCAGCTTTTAAAGATGGCTGTGCTGTATGAGTGATTGACAGCCCTTTACCCATGATATTAACATAAACCCTTTCTTCACTTGCTGGGCTGTCATCTCCAACTGAATAAACACCAATCAGTTGAGACACATTATTTGTGCTCAGCAGTGGTGATCAAAGGTAGATGTATGATGAGGACTAAAACAGTAGCCTATATAATAAATACAGACCACACATTGTCTTCCCGGGTTTTCCAGTTGTTGCAGCACCTCTGTCATCTCCTCATAGTTAAACCAAACTCCTGCTGATGAACAGATTGAAGTGATTTGGGTGCAGCAGGTGATGTTGATCCATGAAATCAGATTAGTAAAAGAAAACATTTCTTTAAAGAAATGTGTGTGTGTGTAGGGAGTCCCTATTCATCATCATTAGAATAATTTAAACAGATGAATGATAGCTGTATGAATAATGCTTCTGTTTGAGACGTCAGAGCCTTTAATGAATCATAATTCTTGCAGAAGGAATGCTGAGTGAACAGCAGATTTATTTAGCTTTCTAACTGTTGGGTTTATTCATCACGGCCTTCAGAAACTTGACATGTATTGTAGGTGATGTTTAGAAAAGAAACAAAAACTTCAAGCAGGATGGTATCCTGAAAAGTGAAGACCGAAGCACACATTTGTGACATTACGCCCCTTTTTTCAACCAAAAAGTTGTAGGAACATCTAAATGATTCGTCAAATTAGACCCATGGTGGATTAAAAAGCAATTTTTACACATGAGAATGCAATAACACAGTCATCCTGTTGTTTCTTGTGTTTACTGTTGCCTGATTCGGATGTTTGAGTTTGATGTAATGGATGAATGAAAAGGAGACATGCAGAGGAGGAAATGAGACTGAAAACTCCACAGTAGATGATCTGCTGAGTGTCTGATGGTTATTTATTTCTGCTTTGCCATGAAACAAACAAAAGTCGAAAGTTTTATTTCTCTCCTTTACTGTCTTTGTTCTTTCCACTGCCTCTCCCCCACTTTCTCATTCATTCTTGTTTGTTCTCAGATTGTTTGCTTTCTGTCACTTTTTTAAACTTCAAACGTTCCCTCGTTCCACACTCTCAATTTTAAGGATTTGCTTCTTTTCTTGCATCTTTTCTTTGTATTTTGTGCGAGTAAACTTTTTATCTTTGGGGTTTTGACCATTGGTTAGGCATCATCTTATAAATCAAACGATTAATTGCGTTACTCCTCTTAAACGCTGCACACAGGATCAAACTCTACAGCTCTGCTTCTCGTATGAACATTTTGATGCACCTCAACTCAGATTGTGATTGATTCATTACAGGGTTTAAGACACATTCCAGTGTAAATGGAGCAAGTAAGAATTTCATTATTTCTGCTGCCCACCAGAGTTGATTTCTTTCTTCTGCCCTGCTCTGTGTGGCCGAGTGTCTGAAGGAGGGATTGAATTACTTACTAGAAAGATTTTAATCTGCAGAGAGCGTAAATTCAGAGAAGTGCTTCACGGGATTAAACCAGGAGTGTCAGTATGTGTGTGAGTGCATGTGTGATATTACTGTGTATGTAAGTGCCTGCATGCATGAGTGCGTGCTTGCTGATGTGTTTACCACCCACACCGTTAAAACCTCCAAGGAGACGCGGGTCAAGTCCAGAGCTGAGGTCTGCAGCGCCCCGACAGGAGACAGAGAGCCGACCTTTCACCTTCAGGCTTCAGGCGGGGTTCAGTATCTAATCACTCTCTGACTCCATCGGTCCACACATTTGTTAAAGTCCTCTCATCAGAGCTTTAATTTAATTCAGATAAAAGATAACTATGTCTCCCCTTTCTTTGCTTAGCTATCTTCGTCCCAGTTTCTCTGTCCCTCCTTTTCTCTCTTTTATGTTTGTCCTCACTGCAAAAAGTAAGACTAGCAAAGCATCAGACAGTTTAAGGTACGTTATGATGTCATCTTGCTTTGGTATGACATTGTGCCTATACTAGAAAAGTTGTGTAATTTGGTTCCACATCCTCAGAATGTCTGATGTTGCTGTTAGAGACTATGTGAGATATATTTGAACCTTCTTGTATTTAACCAGGTAAAAGTTTAACTGATATTAAAATCTCCTTTTCAAAGGAGGCATGGTCACTAATGTAGCATCAATTACAAATTACAACAATAAATGTAATATAAACAGTATAAACAGGTATAAGACACAGCTAACGGCTAATATTAGCTGTTTCATAAGCATTTACAGTATATGCAGTATGTTTGTTGTAGAGCTGCAGCCAGTGATTTATGTTTATCAGTGATAAGTCTGCCTATTAATTTCTTGATTAATCTATTGAGCTTTTGTCAGTAAAATGTGAAAAAAGTGAACATGCACATTACACCCCAAACCCCAAGGTGGCATAATCAAATTGCTTGTTTTGTCCGACCAACAATGAAAAAAAAACAAAATATATAGTTTACTGTAATGAAAGACGTTCAGGCAAACCCTCACATTTGTGAAGTTGGAGCCAGAGAATGTTTGGCAGTATGCTAAATTCTAAAACTATTAATAAATTACCAATTGCTGATCAATTTTCTGTTGAATGATTATTTAATTGAGTAATTGT